TTTGGGAGGCCGAGGTGGGCAGATCATGAGGTCAGGAGTTCTAGAGATCAGCCTGACCAACATGGTGAAACCCCGTCTCTACTAAAAATACAAAACTTAGCTAGGCATGGTGGCACGTGCCTGTAATCCCAGCTACTCAGGAGGCTGAGGCAGGAGAATCGCTTGAACCCATGAGGTAGAGGCTGCAGTGAGCCGAGACTGTGCCACTGTACTCCATCCTGGGCGACAGAACCAAACTGTCTCAAAAGAAAAAAAAAGAAGAAAAGAAAAGAAAACAATTTTATTCCTAGTTTACCATTTCTACCTCAAGAGTTCCATTTGTAATTGCATCACAGTTTTTGTCCTCAATATACACCTGGTGTATACTAAGTTTTTCTTGTAGTGACTTTGTTTTGCTTGAAATTTTCTGAGAAATGACTTTACATAATTGTAAACTTTGAAATGACTAGAGGAGTGAGGGCCAGGTGTGGAAAGGCTATCATGTCTGAGCAAGATAATATTTTGTAAATGGGTGGACAGAACTTTATTTTAGTACATGTGGTACCAAAGTCTGATAAGGAGTGGTCAAGCTAAAGCCATAATTTACCTTGTTTCACAGATAATCACTGTGGTCAACACACGGCAACTATATGCAAATACACTATTTGAAAGAACATAAAAAAGTGATAATCTCATTTGTCCTGAGGATTTCAAATCTTGGCAAGTTATTTTTTCCATAGATAGTTAAGAGAGAAATTGTCATTACAAATTGCTAATTAGTGGGTTTCAAAAATGTGCCTGGCACATAGTAGGGGTTCAATAAATATCTAATGAATGAATGAAGTAATGAATCACACCACTTTGAGAGTTTTATTCATTGGCCATCAGAGAAAGCAAGCCTAAGGTTTTCAAACAGTAATACAGATGCTCAAAATAGTAACTATAGTTGGGAGAAAGTTTTTGGGATCAAGACAATGATCTAGTGCTTTTATAAGGTGGTTATGGAAGAGTAAGCCATTTAATTAAAAGCCAGAGAAAGGAACTTACAGAAATTTTGTTTTTAAGTAATAAAAATTCTTAAGCCTCATAAAAGTATTATTTCTGCTTTCAGATAGACCCACTCCTTCTCTTCCCGCAAAACGTGTCAGATAGCTGAACCTCAAGTTCTGCATAAACTTGATTTTCCATGTCACCACTCCAAAGGCCTCCAATTATTTGACGGACAGAAAGTCAATATAGGCTAGCCATATATCGTCTTGGTCTTTACCTCATACAGCTTCTCTGCCTGCCAATGAATTCTCTGTTTAAAAGACCTGTTTTCCCTAATACAGAAGGTGGTAATGGTGGCCTCTCTGAGAACCTGGTTCTGGAAGTTAATTTTACAGGACTCACTTGAATCAGTAATACCTGAACCCGAAATTCAATTTTTAAATTTTTCTAAGATGGGGTTTCAACATGATGGCCAGGCTGGTCTTGAACTCCTGACCTCAGGTGATCCATCCACCTCGGCCTCCCAAAGTGCTAGGATTACAGGTATGAGCCACAGCTCCCGGCCCCAAATTCAATTTTTTAGAATATGTTTAAAGAGTATATAATTTGGGTACTAGCTGGATTTGAGTAGTAAATTTTTATAGTGTGGTATTGATCAGTTTCAAAGGAGATAGGTTGCCTGGGCCTTGAAGACTTTCCATTCTTTGCTAATGTGTTTAAACTAAACTTCTTTCCTATCCAAGAAGTTTAAGGGACTGGCAAAGAGAAAGGAGTTCTTACTTTTAAAAGTCAGAAATGTAGGACTCACAGGTATAGATGAAATTTGACTGAGGAAAGCCTTGGCAAGATCTGTGAACTTATACACGTGGTAAGGCCATTGCTTTATTAGAAGTATTAACAATATCATTTGTAATACAAAAGGCTGGGCTAGCCTCTTGACCACATAAAATGTCAACTGACTCCCACACTGGGGTATATATTCCTGTTGAAAAGTGTGCAATTTAGTCCAATGTATATTACTCTAGACTGGTCAACACATTGCAGAAATAAAGCAATTTAGCAGACTGTCTAGAGATCACTTCAAAAATTTTTTTTTGACACAGGCTCTTGCCTGTCACTCAGGCTGGAGTGCGGTGGCATGGACACTGCACCCTCGACCTCCTGGGCTCATGTAATCCTCCTGCTTCAGTCTCTCGTGTAGCTAGGACCACAGGCATGCCTCACTATGTCTGGCTAATTTTTTCTTTTTTTTGGTAGAGACAGGGTCTCACTTTGTTGCCCAGGCTGGTCTTGAACTCCTGGACTCAAGTAAGCTCCCTGCTTTAGCCTCCCCAAGTGCTGGGATTACAGGTGTGAGCCACTGTACCTGGCCCAAGAGTCCATTTTTTAAAAATTAACTTATTGGTCTAGTCTCTTCATTTCTATCTTCTCTTTTGATTATCTAACCTACACATTATTCCAGATTTTCAAACAGAACTCTAATCACATTATTCTACTCCAAAAATTTTAACAACCCTCCATTGTCTACCAAATAAACTACAAATTACAGCCTGGCATTCAATGATTTCTACAAAAATAGCCTCTATCTTTCCTGACTTACTTTCTGGCATTGCTCCTACAGATAGATACTTCCACAAGATCAGTCCCTCTGCAGGCCCTGGTTATTAGGAAACAGTGGGATAGTACTGGTTGCTGCTCCAGAGATAGAGGAGGAACAAAAGAAAACAGCCAGCTCCCCATCCCAGCAGAGAGGTTGGGAAGTGAATACTGCTTCATCATCTTTCTGAAAAATAGATTTGATGTTATGTTCTTGCTTAAAATCATTACACTGAGATATTTTTAAACTTAGAATCTATAGACCAGGATGTGGCTAGAATATCAGGGTTCTGTGAACTTTGGGAACAAAATTGCATCTTTGTTTTCAATAATCAGTAGTCAAAATTTAGCATTTTCTTCAATAAGTGTGGACCATAAACTACAGTATTAGCACTCCCTATGTCTTTGCTACCAATGGAAATCTGTTATTTTCACATCACATTAAAGTTGCTGCAGGCATTTCAAAAACATAATTTATAGTCATCACTGCTTAGAAATTATATAATTAGACCTGCTACTATATTTTATTTAATGCATAAAGTGCATATATATCACACATTTCTTTTAATATTTTAAAAACTTAAAAAATAAGTTTCCTTTATATTACTATGTATTTTATTTTATACATATAAGAACATTTTTCTGAGACTGAGTCTATAAGCCGGACTGCCAAAGAGGTCCACTGGGTAAAGAGGTTAAGAACCTTTTTCATACTTATTAATTGCTTATGGTATTCTATAAACTCTTCAGCATGGAATTCAAGACTCCTCATAATCTGTTCACACCCACTTTATCATCTTCATCTATGCCCCACCTCTACTTTCCATACTATGCTCTAGCCATACTACACAACAATGACTCGCTCTTACTTGGGGGCAGATAGACAGGTTTCCGGATTAACTCTAGTTAATAGACAGCAGCTATACACTGTCTTGGTCTTTACCTCATACAGCTTCTCTGCCTGCCAAGTGAATTCTTTGTTTAAAAGGCCTATTTTCCCTAATACGGTAATTTTCAATCCTAATAGAGCTGTATTTTAAATATCTTTACATGTCATTCCTGACTTAAATGATTAATAACAGAAAAAGATCCTAAATTGGCAAGGAACTTTATGTAGTAATTTCTAGGGGAGTGAAGGTTAGTCTTTGCATCTCATACATTGGCTTAGCTCTGAATGTTGGTCTTTGCATCTCAAACTGGCTTAGCCCTGATCATTTTGGGGACAGAAGTGGGGATGGCCTTTGAGTGGTAAGGCTGGAGACAACAGCTGACCAATTCTGGAAAGGGACAAGTAACTAAGCTGGATCTGATAAACACTGAGGAATAAACAGTGCTGAAGGGAAAGACAAGAGTGGCTCCTTCTCCCATTTCCCAGACCTGTTAATTCAAAACATAACGCTGCTCAGGTTTCTCATTCAATTTCCAAGCATCTCTGTAGCTAAATGACCTTCATCTTAATGTTACAGAGCTAACTCCCTCAACTTCCTTCTGTCTAGTTTAGTGGGTCTCAATGTTTAGCATTAGAGTCATCCGTGGATCTTTAAAACAGTACTGACACCTGGCACAACCCAGAATTTAATTGGTCTAGAGTGGGGTAACAGTATTGGTTTTAACAACAAGTTTCCCAGGTGATTCAAATGCACATACAAGGTTGAGTTCCACTGGTGCTCTTGATCTTACAAATTCCCTCACCGTCGAATAGTCCACTTTTTGGTTCTGAGTCTTCTACCTATACAGAAAACTTTTCTGAGGGTCATATTCTCGTTCCTTTCTCTCACTTTGTAACGATGCTTTTTTAATGGGAAGTCTACACCAATATGGTTTCCATCAGGTTTATTCTACTTCTCTTTTTACCCTTTCAGACCACCAATGTCTCATCCTTTTGCACCCGTTACTCTCTCTGCTTTTACTTCCTATTTCTTTGACCAGGTACTGATTAACGGCCTTTTAACACAGTCCTCTAAAAATAACCCAAAAGTCACCCTGGAAAGGTCCTCCTCATGTTCTCCTACTACACAATCAGGGACCCCTCTTCTGTGCGCAGACAGCATCCTGTGCATTTTTCTCTATTATCACTTTATTGTACTACCACTGCAGATTCTCTTACGGTCTCCTACATAACTTCAAAAAGCTGAGGCTTATTTTATTCGCTTCGGACATTCTGGAACCCAAAGCATAGAAACCACTCAGTGACAGTCTGAGGAATGAATGGAAACGAGGACTTGGAAACCGAGGTCGGGGCGGGGACAATGGGGGGGGGGTGAGCGGAGAGGGCGTGAGTGTTTGAAAACGGGCGGGGGCTGTAACCGACGGCACTGAGAATCCAGGTACAGAATCGGGAGGGGGCACAGATACGCCAGAGTCTGAGTGGGCAGGAAAGCGATCCACTGCCGGGACAAACTGAGACAAACCGAAGTGGGGAGGAGGCTTCTTACCTGCCTCGGGCCTCACCACCCCAACCAGCCTTCAAGCACCTCGGTATTAGCCGGAAAGCGACAGCTACGGTCGCAAACCCAGAGTTTTCTTCCCCAACATTGCGACATCCCTCTCCAGTAGAGGGAGAGTCTAAGGCTGTTTCCCGCTTTGCCGTAAGGTGAGGCAGAAAAATTTGGGCGGGGCCGCCTGGGGCGTAGGAAATGGGGCGGGTCCGCGCAAGCGCAGGCTGTACTCTTCGATGCCGTCACGTGCGGGGGCGGGACAGGGCGGGGCCGACCCAGGCTGGCAGTAGGGGGCGTGGGAGGTAAGTGCGCGCGCGCCTGCTCGCCTGCAGCCGAGGAGTCGCGCGGGGCGGGGCCGTGTGCGCGGGGTCGGGGACGCGCGGGCCGAAGCGGACAAGGGACGCGGCGACGGTTGTCTGTGGCTGTTGAGAGAGTACGGGCCAGCCAGGACCACGAGAGGCGGCGGTGGAGGCAGTAGCTGCACCGGCAGAGGCGGCCGCAGCGGTTGAGGCGGCGGTCCAACGCGTGCTCTCTGGGCGGGGTGCGGCGGGGGATGTGCCTGCCCAGGCCGGGCGGAGTCACTCTGACAGGGCGGGGGATGCGCAGCGGCCGCTCGCCCGGACCCTGAGGCGGCTGGGCCCACCCTCCCGGAACCGTCCGACCTTCGGTGGTCCCGGCCTCTGCTGCCATCTCCGGCCCGACCCTGGGGTCGAAGGTGGGAGGCAGCTTCCGCAGAAGAGGAGGGGGCTGCGGTGGCCACCGCGGCGGAGCCCGAGGTAAGACCCGCCCAAGCGCCCAGCGGCCCTACTGCCCGTCCCGGCCCACGTCTCAGCCTCGCTCTTTGGCTCTGGTCGGGCCGCCCCGCCCCGCCCCAGCAGAGACGCCCCGCGAGCTGGTCTGCGCTGAGCCTCCCAAACACCCGATCAGGATCCCGGATCCCCGGTAGACCCCACCCCCCGTATCTTCCATTGGCCGGGCACCATTCCGGTCCTCGAGCCTCCCCGGAGATTCTTTCACGGTCCCCCAACCCAGCAGACCCCATTAGAAAGAACCCTTCAGAGTCCCTTAGGACTCTTAATGGAGCTCCAAGACTCCGTTACATCCTCCCTTGGGCTGACCTGATCACAGTTCCTTAGAGTCTCGACCGCCCCCTAACCCGTTGCGTCCTCTAGCTGCCCCTCGCCCTTCCCTTCTTAGTGGACCCCCTCCCAGCTCGCTCATCGCCAAGCCGACTAGCGCTAACCCTAGCCGTCAGGGCTTTCACATAGCCGCTGTCATGGTGCTCTTACTCCCGGTAGATGTGATGTCAGCCCCTCTAGATACCGTCGCAGACTCTGGCCTCTCTCCCACCCCCGACTGTACCCTCTGTCACAGACCTCTCCTCAAGCAAACCTTGTTATCTTTCTCCTCAGTCGCGATCCTTTCTTTGGTCGAAAGGGCTTTGCCATGAAATCCTGAGGGAATATTTGCTTAACCTAGTGTATTCCCGCCAGTCTGGCTTTAGGGGACCGACCGAGACCCATGTTGGGAGGGTTTGGGCTGAAAAAGCGGGAGACAGAGTAAAGTTATGGAAGCATGGGGCCGGTCGTGTGCGTGCCATTATAAGGTCACAGAGCCTGCGCCTCGTCTTGTCTGTTACGTAGAACGTGTGAGGTTGTCCAGCTCTGACGGTTTAGGGGCCTCTGTAAGGATTAAATCACGTTACGCTAGGGAATATAACTGTCTTCTTGTAGTATTACTTTACCTCCTTGTCGATTGCTACAGATACTGGACCTTGTTTTTTCTTTCTTTCTTTCTTTTTTTTTTTGAGGGATACTGGGGATCATTTTTGGATTCGTTGTCTTTGGATTTGCTAGAAAAATAAGATTTGTAGCTTTCCTTAATCCCTGAATACTTCGATGTCAGTTTAATAAAAAACTGCTGCTGCCTGGCGTTGATGTCTTGTTTCTCCAAGAAGCAAGTACAGAAATCATGCAGTGTTCACTGAGGTCATTACCACCGCAGCCTTCTCAGTAGTCGTAAAATGTTGAATAAAATGTTTGTTGAAGTTGAGCTCCTGAGCTGTCAAGAAGGAAATGTAATGCTGCATCAAAAGATCAGTACGTGATTTTAGTATTGGTGTAAGGATGAAATGTAAAGAGGTCTTCGTAGTCATACTTTAAAATTTTTTATTGTGTGTGTATCAGGAGGAGAAAATCACATTAAAATTGCAGATAGTAACTAGACGTAAAAGTCAAAAGTTTCTGTTCCTCCTTCATTCTCTGGCCACCCATTTTCTCTCTTTAGAGGCAACCGCTATTTCCAGCTTCATGTGTATCCTTTCTGTGATACTTCCAGAATATATAAACCTATACATTTATATTTTTAAGACACTATACACAAATGATTGCATACTTTACACTCTATACATAGCCTGTTTTTTCACTTACTACCACATCCTAGAGATCATTCACTAACAATACGTGTGGAAGTGCTTCAGAATACTGGCTGGATAGTATTCTGTTTTTTGTGGATTGGAGGTTATTTTTGGTGTTCTGCTTTTACCAACAATGCTGCGTGCTTTTTCTTTTAAATGTTTCTGTGGTTATGTATGTTTAAATAATTTTGTGATTTGAACAAAATTCCTGTTCTTTCATGTTGAACTTACAAAAATGACGTAACTAAATTTCTCGTTGAACCTCTGAGCTTACACTGTGATTAGCTGTGATGATGATTATAACATATATCAAATAAATTATTGAAGGATTTTAAAGCAGGGGACTGGAATAGTCAGATGTGCATTTTAAACTAGTCATTCTGGCTGTAGTGATGAGGGTGAATTGAAGAGTAGAATAAGGCTAAAGGCAGGAGTATTAGGGTAATCCAGGCAAATGGTGAGACTGGATCTGAACTTGGGTATTGGGAGTTGATTTGGTGATTTTATTATATTTGGGTTGCCGAGAAGTTGCATAGAGGATAAAATCTTGGTTTCTGGCTTGTGCCTTTCACTGAGGTGGGGAATCCCATGAAGGAGTGGGATTTTATTTTTATTTGGTCTAGGAGGGATAGGGGGTTAATTTGTGACATGTTCAGTTTGGGTGACTATAGTTCTGTCAGATGTAGATGACCATTAGGCAGTTGGATTTGTGGCTGAAGCTCAGTATCAGGTTCTGGGTTGATACTAATAGATTTTGGAGGCAAAATCATGTAGATGGGAAGAGAAAAGGTTTTAGGATGGAAACCTAACATTTAAATTACAGGTAGAGTTAGAGTTGAATGTTTAAATTAGATGATTAAGTCCCTTAAAATCTTATTCTAGTTTAAGCATTAACAGTGAGATTCACCATCTAATATATGAATTTTTAACAGTTATTTTCCCTTAGTTATTTTAGTAGTATATAGTTTCTGGTAGAAATTGGGTAAACTTAGATTTCTTTTTTTTTTTTTGGAGACGGAGTCTTACTGCCCAGGCTGGAGTGCAATGGTGCGATTTTGGGTTCACCACAACCTCCGCCTCCCAAATTCAAGCGATTCTCCTGCCTCAGCCTCCTGAGTAGCTGAGATTACAGGCATGCCTGTAACCACTATGCCTGGCTAATTTTGTATTTTTAGTAGAGATGGGGTTTCTCCATCTTTGTCAGGCTGGTCTTGAACTCCCGACCTCAGGTGATCCATCCACCTCGGCCTCTCAAAGTGCTGGGATTACAGACTTGAGCCACTGTGCTTGGCCAGTGTTTTTAAAAAGTACCTCAATAGAAGTTAACGATGTAAATCCCATCTTTCCTAATCATTTGGTTTATACTGCATGGAAGTTTGTTGAATCTTTAATAATTGCAGAGAAGTGTAGGAGGTTTGAAAATATGGTTTTCCAAGAATATTAAGGTTTTTAGTTGGAATGATTTTTAGTTATATTATCAGTTTGAAATAAATATTAGTCAAAGACTTCAGACTTTTCAGACATTTTAAAAACCACGATATTGACTTAATGTATTGTTTCCTAAATCTAGAACTGCTGTTTAGAGTGCTTGCCTTTGCTCTAGACCCCTGTAAAAGCACCACCTAATGGACATCACCACTTTGATTCACATTTCACAAACACATCAGTTCAAACATTTAGGAAACAAAACTTTTCCTGCCTGTTTTTCCCCCAAAAGAGTGGGGAGAGAGCTGAGAGACAGAAACTGCAACAAAATTTTTTCTTCCTCCCGATTTCCTGTTTTAATTAATGATACCACTCTTTCCTCATGAAACCTTCAGGAACCTGGGAATTGCCCTCCACTTCACTCTGTGCTTCACTGCCAACATCCAGTTTGTCACTAAGTCTTGTACATTTTCTCTCATGAGTTTCAGGTCATTCCTTATTACATTTTGTTGCTTCTACCTTGTTTTAACTCAGAATATCTGTTTGTTGGGCTTCTGTAATGCTGAGTGGTCTTCATGCCTTCTGTCTTCTGCCTCTTGTCATGCCCTCCAATTCATTCTCTTCACTGCTGTTGGAGTAAATGTTCTAAAATGCTCTTTTAGTTAGGCTCTTTCAATTGCAGGGAAAGACTCAAATTACCTTAAGTAATGAAGTGCGTATTGAAAGGAATCACACACAGGGGAACCCAGGAAAAGTTAAACAACTTACTCTCAAGAAGAACAAGAACCTAATAAAGCTGAAAGCAGAAGACAGACTTCACTCCAGTGCTCCATTGTTAACTTGTCCTAGATACCCTTTCTTTCTCCTCCAGTTCTTTCTCTCCTAGCTTTTTTCTCTTAGCTTCTGTTTATTCCTAATTTCTGTTCCTTATAACTACTGCGTGACCCCCATGCCAGCATCTTGCTTCCTGGCTCTGATCATTTTAACTTCAGCTCCTGTTGATAACCTCTTCCTTTTCCCTAGGATTTTCTGATTTGAATTACCAAGAAACAATTACTTTGGTTTGGCTTCTTTCTCATTGATTGCTAGCAAGTCTGTGTCTCTGTGTACTTAGGGTATGCCACCACTCTTGGCCATTTAATGTTGATTCTGTGTTTGTATATATATATGGGTATGGGGAAAGATCGTAATGTTGGAAAGTATGGGGCAGTGTGCAGGCTAATTTACTACAAAATAGGGTTGTGAACATGGCCCACACCAGAATTGACATGTATAGTACAGATAAAAATCAAATCATGTCCTTTCCTATTGAAAAATCTTCAGTGATGTCTCATTGCTTTCAGGATAGAGTTTAAA